GCCTCCTGAGTAGCTGGGATTACAGGCATGTGCCACCATGCCCAGCTAATTTTTTGTAGTTTTTTAGTAGAGACGGGGTTTCACCATGTTGACCAGGATGGTCTTGATCTCTTGACCTAGTGATCCACCCGCCTCAGCCTCCCAAAGTGCTGGGATTACAGGCTTGAGCCACCGCGCCCGGCCTAGAAATTCTTCTCAATAGTACTGTAATTTTACAGTATTACTTAAAATAGTAAAACTTGAGACGCTTATTCAGTAATAGCTTATTGGTTAGTCAAATTATAGTATGTGCAAAAAGTACATTCATTTAACAGAGCATTATTACTGTCTTTCATTTGTAAAACATACTGCTCTACTGTGGTAATTTTTTAGCTCAGAGTTAATTCAGTATTGTATTACTTTATTTGGTTATTTTACGTGCATGTTCACCAGTGACACTGGTCTTTGGTTTTAAAGGCAGAATTTACTTTTGCCTGGTGTTGGGAAAATAAAATTCAAATCTCCTGCCAAGGGCAGAAAATCCTCTCCACAAATGCAGGGGAAAAAAAAAAAACAGTTTTATTACTGAATAAGCATTAAATCAGAGCTTGATGCACTTCACAAGCAATCCACTAATGAGATTAAAGGACAGAAAGGGCCGGGCGCGGTGGCTCATGCCTGTAATCATAGCACTTTGGGAGGCCGAGGCGGGTGGATCACAAGATCAGGGGTTCAAGATCAGACTGGCCAACATGGTGAAATCCCATCTCTACTTAAAAAATACAAAAATTAGCTGGGTGTGGTGGCTCGTGCCTGTAATCCCAGCTACTTGGGAGGCTGAGGTAGGAGAATTGCTTGAACCCAGGAGGCAGGGGTTGCAGTGAGCCGAGATCACGCCACTGCACTCCAGCCTGGGCTACAGAGTGAGACTCCATCTCAAAAAGGACAGAAAGAAATCTCATCCTTTTATATAAGCAAGCAGATACAATCTAACACACACACCAAAAAACTTATCCGCAAGTAAGATTTGACAGTTCAATTTGCTACACGAAATTTATTCTAAATTCATCTGTTAATTGGAGTCACCACTGTGTTAGCTAATTGCCTTTATCCAAATCGAAATAACATTTCTCATATCTTTGACAAACCAGTCATTACAACTTAGAAACAGTGATGCTTCTTTCTTCCTCTTCAGCTGCCTGGGCAGCCTGGGGTATTCACCCATCTCTGTCCCCAAAAGAACATGGGATATCAGTCCTAGCACTTAATTTCTTCTGCTTTCTTACTTTTCTACCAGTGCTGCAATCCTCAATACAGTAGCCTCTAGTCAACTTGACTACAACATTTAGTTAAAATGTAAAAATAAAATAATTAAATAAAATTTAAAATTCATTTCTTTCATTGCTTAAGCCAAAAGTTGAAATACTCAATAGTCATACCGGGCTGGTGGTTACTGTACTGAGCAGCACACATGCAGAACCCTTCCACCACTGCAGAAAGTTCTTAGACAATACTGCACTGGATCATGAAGTCCTGTGTGTCAGTGCACACCAAAATCCTCGTGCAACTTTTCCTAACAAGTACTTCCTAAGTGTTTAGAGGATGAACCAATGAATGATTTTGGCCTAGTTCACTTTAGCCTTTTTTTTTTTTTTTTTAAGAGGCAAGGTCTTGCTCCATTGCCAGGCTGGCGACATAATCATACAGTGACATGATCATAGCCCACTGCAGCCTCACACCACTGGGCTCAAGAAATCTTCCCACCTCATCAGCCTCCCTAGTAGCTGGGACAACAGGCATGCACTTGTCTCCCAGCCTAATGAGTGACACAGGCCGTGGAAAACGACAAAGCAGTGACAGGAGTGGAAGTGCCAGGTGAGGGAACGTGACTGCAAGTGCAAATAGGCATTCAGGGAAGCTTTTCTGAGAATTCACCACCGAGAAAACACACGAAGGAGACAAGAATGCAAGCTTGTGCATATGTGGGTGAAGAATATTCCATGTGGATGGCACAGCAACTGGTGACAGTGGCTGGAGCTCACGGGGATGAGGAGGCTGAGAAAGGAAGGTGGGATCAGAGAGGTAACACCATAATTGTACAAATAGGTCACAGCAGAACCGACTTTGAGGTAGTTGCTGAAAAATTTTAGGTTGAGGAATGACAGGAATTTACATAACAATAGGATCACGGTGACAGCTCTACGGAGCACAGACTGATGAGGGTTAAGGGCAGGTGCAGGGAATCCAGTTAGGAGACCACCGTGATAATGCAGGTGGCTTGGATCGGGATGGTAGTGGTGGTGGTGGGATAACTAATGGTCAGATGCTGTATACCATGCATAATTTACATCCAACTAGAGGACGTGCATAAGTTATACGTCAAAGGGAAAAAAATCAAGGATGACTCCAAACATCTCTTCACTTGAGACCACACAATACAGTTTTAACAACCATAAAGCAAATAACATTAAAATTCAAACTTGCTTCGTGAATTTGAATTACAGTTTAAAAATTTTGGCAAGACTGAAAAGTCTTCTAGTAGAAAACGGTAGAAAAGAGGAACACTGGGTGAGGAGGACAATACCTTGGAGCTCTCCCGTGGGCTCCATCCCTCCTATATTGAAAGGAACCAGAGATCCAGTCCCTTAAATGGACTTGACTAGGTGGGAACAGGCAGGAGAAGCAAAGCAAACACACAGAGGCCTGATAAAGTGTTTCAGGGAGACTTAGGGACACACCGACTTACTTGAGACATTACTCCGCAATTTCCAACAGCCAGCAGAGTCCTCTTTCCAGGCTCTTAGAGATAGGCAGTGTCCTAAAGGCACAGAACGGCAGGAAAAAGCAGTCAGGAAAAATCAGGCTTATCTTCCAGCATCTGTGACACACCATAATGGAAAGGCACACTTGGTAGTCACTCTCTGGGGCGTCAGTCTCTCCCTGGGAACTACAGGGTGTTTCTCGGCAAGGTTTAACCATTTTCCAGGTGCCACCTGTGGGGAAGGTCAAGTTTTCTGTCCATAAAAGACTCATAAACAATAGTAATAACTTAATCAACTCGTTCAATCTTCACCACTATACACGGTGGGCATTCACATTATTCCAGATTTTTTCTTCTTTTTCTTTTGAGATGGGAGTCTCGTTCTGCCGCCCAGACTGGAGTGCAATGGCGCCATCTCAGCTCACTGCAACCTCCACCTCCGGGGTTCAAGCGATTCTCATGCCTCATCCTCCTGTTTAAGCTGGGATTGCAGACGTGCGCCACCACACCCAGCTAATTTTTCTTTTGCATTTTTAGAGACAGGGTTTCACCATGCTGGTCAGGCCAGCGTGGCAGCTCACACCTGTCATCCCAGCACTTTGTTCGAAACCAGATTTCTTTTTAAAACGAAGACAAAACTGAAATTCCGAGATACTGAACCCATGTTTTCAAGGTTACACAACTGCAAAGCGCCGGCTTCATGACAACATAACCCCAAAACAACCGTGGCTGGCGTCTGCTCTCGCGCCCACTTTCCACTCACAACAGCGCCAAGACGTCGGCGCCGTCATCACCCGCGTTTACACAGCAGGACGCGAGGCCCAGGAAAAGCCAAGACTCCGGCAGGGGTCACACCGCGGGCCGACCCAGGGTCGGGGCCCCGCCGCCGCCCCCAGGACCCACACTTGCCAGAGTCCTCGCCGTCCACGCAGGCGCCCCGAGTCCGCACTTCCGCGGACCTGACGCGCTGCGTCGCTGGTGAGCGGGCAACGTTCCCGACCTCCGGGAACAACACTGCCCAGAACCGTTTCTGAGCCTGGGAGCCGCCCCCAGGCCTCAGGCTACCGCAGGACCGACCCACTGCAGTGCCCACGGCCAAGCGACAATTCCCAGAATCCTCCGCGCTCGGGACAAAGGTCCCCGGCTCCGCGAACCGCCGGCGCGAGAACACTACCCTTCCCACTAGTCTCTGCGGCCGCACGGACCTGGCGAGCCGCGGGCAAATGGGTGTAGGCTTCGTAAGAAAAGCCTGGGGCTGTTATTTCTAGAGTCGGCCAACTAGGACCACGCGCGAAGTGCCCTAGGCGCACAGTTGTCCTATGGTCAACGATACGCTTCGGAACTAAGGGACACCCTCTACTTGTAAGGACAATGGCGCCCGCATTACGAAACTACAATTCCCAGAGAATTCTACAGCCGTGCGAGAAGTTCTTCCGGGTCATTCTTGCGGTCGCACACAAGTTTCCCTCCGGGACGTGCGCCGCTGTTCATGGTACCGCCCAAGTCGCTGGCGGTTGCTAGCAAAAGGACTGCTCTCATCCCAAACCCTACTGCTACGCTGTCCACCTCGTATGGTCTTTGAGGTTTTTGGTCATTTGCCTAAGACGATAGCTCACAGACGCCCTGTGGCCGGACTGTCACGACTGTGTTTCGCCAACCAAGGAGATTTCCTGGAAATTCATGCGTACAAGTATCTGTGACACTAATGATGGCCGTTCTGATGTGAGTTACGCCCCCTAGGGGGACTGGGAAACACGGAACTTGAGTGAGCACCAGGAGGACAGAGACCCTCATCCTGGGAGGAGTCACTCCTCACGCAGCCATCAGAGCCTGAGGCTTCCTTCCTCTCTACAGAAGTGCTTCTTGGGCTCTGACCTTGCGCAGCCAACCCAAAAGGACCGTGGACCTCTCTATATGCAAGGCTGAGCAGTCTACTGTTGGTATATATTTGGGTTGTTTGCTTCCTTTTTAACATTTGAATTAAATTTTATTTTCACTTTTTAAATTATAGTGTGGCTATAGACTGTTTTGTACTTGTCAAGTACTGACCTTCATGATCTTCGTGGAGCAGTGCTTCTATTACCAGAAGGGGGTCCCGGTCCAGACCCCAAGAGAGGGTTTCTGAGTGTCACGGAAGAAAAGATCCGTTGGAGTCCACAGTGCAAGGCCAAAGCAAGTTTATTAAGAAAACAAAGAAACAAAAGAATGGCTACTCCATAGGCAGAGGAGCAGCTTGGATTGCTGGACTAAGGATGCTGGTGGTTATTTCTTGATCATATGCTAAACAAGGGGTGGATTATTCACGAGTTTTCTGGGAAAGGGTGGGCAATTCCCGGAGCTGAGGGTTTCCCTACTTTTTAGACCATACAGGGTAACTTCCGAACCTTACCATGGCATTTGTAAACTGTCATGACACTGATGGGAGTGTCTCTGAGCATGCTAATGCATTATAATTAGCATATAATGAGCAGTAAGTACAACCAGCGGTCACTCTCCTATCTTGGTTTTGATGCATTTTGGCTGGCTAATTTACTGCAAAACCTGTTTTATCAGCAGGCCTTAATGACCTGTATCTTGTGCTGACCTTCTGTGTCATCCTGTGACTTAGAATACCTTAACTGTTTGGGAATGCAGCCCAATAGGTCTCAGCCTTATTTTACCCAGCCCCTATTCCAGATGGAGTCGCTCTGGTTTAAACGCCTCTAACACTTCTACTTGGTGTATCCTGTGGGTACGGTGGTGAATTCCTATAGCAGTCATAGTTTTAAGAAACATTATGGCATCAGCTGGCTTCCTCTCAAGGCTTAGAGTATGTAATAAGGAAAGACTGGATTGTGCAAAGCCTATTCCCATCTATGACTTTATTGTACAACGTCAAATTGTTTTCAAAGTTGTACCAATTTTCAGTCCTACCAGAGTTAATGGTTATTTTGGTTGCCAACTTTTAGTGCCAGCAGTTGATTTGTGAAACTTTAACACTTTGTTTATCTACTAGGTGTGAAATCATAACTCACTGTGGCTTAAAGTTGCACTGTTAAATTGTTAATGAGATTGAGAATGGTTTCGAATGTCTGTTGGCCTTAGGATTTCCTTCTCTGAGAATTGCAGGTCCTTTGCTCAATGTTCATATATATATATATATATATATATATA